GGGAAATGTGAAAACTTGGAAGTATTCTCAAATTTCAGAAATACATTGAGCTGTCCAGATTTTAAATATGGGATCTTGCTGGGTACCCTTGATGAAACTTACTTCCTTTCCATGAAAAAACCAGGACAACTGGATGTTCTATAAATCATTTAATTTCTGATAGATGTTGTACTGGGTTTGTTTTCCAGCTTTTCACTTTCATGAACAAGCCTGACATGTGACTTTTTGAGTACTTGTCCAGTTACTGCTTTGGGGTAACTATTGGAAGAGTTCATCAGTTCTGTTAGGAATGGTGCTAGGAGGGAAAGCTGCTAGACTCCATGAGGGTGAGATTTAAAGGAGAATTCCAAAAAGTCGGGAGCAAAGAGCGGGGGAAAAAACTAGAGGCAAAGAACATGAGAGCAGAGAGAGAGAACTTTGGAAAACTTGAAATGGCTTTAGCTGTTTTTACTTTATACCTATGGATGTAGAGCTGATACCATCCCTTCATAAAGCCTCACCTCCTGGCTCTATTCATAACTTTCCGGCTCTCCAGTCACTCATGCTTCCTGTTCCCTTTTCACTAATTAAATGTAGTTTAATTCTGCAAGTTCTCTCCTCTCCTGGGGCTCTCAACCGCCTGTGCCCATGGCTTTAGCCATCGTACCTCCAAGAGGCCTGCCAAATTTTTAGGTCCCATCCCAGGCTTTCTCCTGAGCACCAGCATTGTATTTCCTTCTGGGCATTCCCACCTGTATGTCCAACAGACATGTCCGTCTACAGGACTTCAGGAGCTTGCTGAGTATGACTAACACTCGTGGTTACTTTTATGCAGAATGGGGGAGTCGAGAGACTGGAGGACCATGGAGGAACCAAGAGTGAATCGATTAGCCTCTGTCCTCACCAGGAACATGTTCTGATCAGAAGGCAACAGTGTGATCAGCCACAGTAGGCTCTGGGCCAGCTACTAAGAGGACAGGGAGGTCACCTTCATATAAGAATCCGAAAGTAAAATGGAATGGTAATTGCCAGCATTAGGGTGTGTACCTCTCCTGGACACCTTCCCCAAACTGTTAAAGTGATCACATTACATTGATACATGCATACCCATGTTTATAGCAGCACAAATCACTATAGTTAAATTGTAGAAACAGCCCAGATCCTTACCAACAGATAAACGGATGAAGAAAATGTGGTACAGTGGTATCTCAGTTCACGAAGTTAATTCTTTCCACAATTCTGGCCACAATCCTAATTGGTCAAGAACCAAATCAAATTCAATGGTAAGGTTCAGTGTGGACCTTATGGAGAAATTTGATTCAGTTCTCAACTAATTTGGTTTCCAACTGGAATCATGGAAAGAATTAAGTTCATGGACCAAGATACATAATGGAGTATTATGCACCATAAAGGAGGATAAATTTGAGTCATTTATAGAAAATAGATGAAGCTTGAGACCAGAATGCTAAGTGAAATAAATCAGACACACGTTAAAGAAAGCATGGTTTCTCTTCTATGAGAAACCCAACATATGAACAGTTTAAAGAGGAAAAATAAAGGAGATGGTAGGACAAAGGGAGGCAGATTTTTTGGAAATGGGCAAGGGGACCTAGAGAATGGGGGAGAAAAGAGGGTATGGGAGAAAAGGGATCCAAGATGATCCAGATACAACAGATATGCAAAAATGAATGTAATTATTATATATCACAAATATATTCTAGCTTGTAAAAGATAGGATTTTGATAGCCCAGAAGGGTGGGGAGAGAGAGAAGAAAACATTTCAGTGAGAACAGAAGTCCAGAAAGAATGTAGCACTATCCTGCTCAGAAGAGGAAAATCCAAGGGGCTTATTCACCCACCCTGGTCTTCTTTCTGCCCCTCCTTCCCATCCACAGGAGGTGACATTGGGCACTGCCATGTGTAGGGGAGCCTCTTCTTCAATAAGCAAGGAGGAGCCCTTGAAGGTGTTGACCAAGTGGGTAACATGTAAGTCTCCGGTAGCTAATCGGGTGGTCAACTGCAAGTGTGGGACAAGTTCAAATCTGAAAGATCAACAGTTCACTGTATGTTTAGATGTGGGACCAAGGAGAACCATCGCCACAGAGGAGGTGGGATCAGTACGGAGAGGCTGAAGAGATAGAAGGCCCAGCAGCAGAACCTTTCTGAGCAGCCATTCTTAGGTGGCCAGGGAGGGAGCTGAGCACAGAAGCGGGGGTGACCACAGAAGGTCATCACGAAGGTGGGTGACCTGAAGAAGGGCAAAGAAATGAAAGCCAAGAGGAGGGAGGTAAAGAGGCTCTCCTGGCTGAGCAGGAGGAGGGAGCGGCCCATTGATTCTGAGGCAGGCATCACCCGTCACCACCTGCTGGTCCTAAGCCAGGTCTTCCTCCCTCTCTCAGCCTGTTCTCAGCTGGCCCTGCAGCCCCAAGCCCCATGGGATCCCGGATCTATGCTCTTCCCAGTCCAGCCCCACTCTGTTCCCCTCCTTTGCCTGTGCCTCAGTGTCCCTCTCCCAGACAATCTGTGACATCCAGTGACACCTCCCGGCTCCCTGGTATTCTTCCCTACTCAGTCTTGTGCACTTCTGCCACGTAACTTTTTCCATTAGTGTCCCCTGCTCAAAAACCCTTGATACCTGATAACTTACTGCTTAAAGGTCAAACTCCTTACAAGGGCAATGCTTTTGCTGCTGTAAGCAATAGCAATCCACCTCCACTCCCTCCCAAGTTGTCTTTCTTGTATAGATTGGGGTCACTCTATTCATCCTTGAATGAATATTCAGAGATATTCATTAAGAATATCTCAGGCTCAGACAAAGAAGTAAAAGCAACAAATAAACATGAAAAATGTTTGAAAAAATGTTCCACATCACTGGTCATTTGAGAGATGCAGATGAAAACAACACTGAGATTCCACCTCACCCCACAAAGAATGGCTGCTATCAAAAAATCAACCAATAACAAATGCTGACAGGGGTGTGGAGAAAAAGGAACCCTTCTCCATTGTTGGTGGGAGTGCAGACTGGTGCAACCACTGTGGAAATCAGTATGGAGATACCTCAAAGAACTAGGGCTGGAGGTCCCATTTGACCCAGCTATTCCCCTGCTGGGGATCTTCCCCAAAGAATTAAAAGAATCATACCACAGCGATATATGTGCACCTATGTTTATAGCGGCACAGTTTGTAACAGCTAAAGCTTGGAAACAGCCCAAGTGCCCATCAACTGGAGACTGGATAAAGAAGATGTGGGTTTTTTTTTTTTAATAAAATGAAGTACTATTCAGCCATAAAGAACGAGAAACGAGAGACATTTATAGCTAAATGGATGCACATTGAGGCCATCCTCTTAAGTGAAATTAATAGGACACACATGTGTAAATACCGAATTGTTTCTCTGGTATGAAAAGCTAAAAGTGTAAATAAGGATCAAAATGTATAATTGATATTGTGTAATAGGAAGAAATGGTCTAAAGGAAGAGGGGAAGTGGGAGGGGTAGGGGAAAGGAAAGAAAGGAAAAGAAAAACTATTGAGAAAAGGAAAAAAATGGAAACAAAGTCTTTGTAAATAGGGAGGGGTGGAGGGGTGAAGGGAGGGCAGGGGAATGGGGCAAAACTAAGAACCAAGATGCATCATGTACAGGTACAATTCCCAATGATGAATGTCACTGTATTGTACACCTAAAATGGACCAATACACTTACTGGGGAAAAAAATCTTAGTCCACTACTATGGGGCAGAATGGAGGTCTTTACTGAGAGGGCTGTATACTCCACTAAATCAAGGGAACTCGAGACAGGGAGGACACGTTGAAAAGAAAATGTCACCCAGATGTATATTATATCTAGATGCTCCCCCCGCAGCCTCACGCATTCCCAGGTGGGGCTTCTGGAAGGTGATCTGATTATGGGGGCTGATAGCTGGTCTGGGGAGAAGAGGCGGCCACTGGGGGCGTGGCCTGCATGGATGCTTCTCCCTCCTTAGCTCCACCATTCACTCTCTGCTTCCTGGTCACCGTGACGTGGGCAGCTCTCTCCACTGTGCCCCTGGGCAGTGCCAATTCTGCCCTGGAGCCAAGTGAGTATGCACTACGAAACCTCCACAAGCTGAGCCAAAATAAAACTTTGCTCAATCGTGGGTGTTGGGTACGGTGTCTCAGCACCAAGAAAGTGACTAAGACGGGCAGGATTTGAGTGTGGACACTCTGGGAAGGCCTCCTTCATGTTAGGAGGAGGAGGCAGGTCAGGACCTAAGAGGGACAGCAATAACTCGGACGCAGGTTGATGAGCTCTACCACACCTCTCTCTGCAAACCTGTACTGAACACCTAGTACAAACCAAGCTTGGAGCGCTGCGTGGCGACAGTGTGCTGCTTGCTCTAAGAAAGCCACAGCCTGATTTGTGGCACTTGCCTAATTCTGTGGTATAAATATCCCCACTGTGGCCCATTCCAAGCTACCTGGTCTTCTCTCAATTTTGAGTAGCTCAGGGTTGGCTGTTGGTGGAAATGACAAGCAGGAAATTGGTCTCCAATCCTGCCTGCCCTCCGACCAGTGCTCCTGCCCACATCTGGGCACCTGTAGCCACAGCTGGCTCTCAGGCCTGACTTCCATTCTGACTGGTACCTTTGCTGAGGGGTTCAGCAACTATGCTGAGAGTAGGTCACAACCTTACAAGTTCTCTGGTTTCTCACATGGGTTCACCTACTCTCACCTCCAGAAAAGGTAACATTCTCTGGCTTAGGCTACAACCTTTGGGGACAGACTCTGGCCACTCTTAGGGACTTCTACATTCAGAGGCTCCTGGCTGAAGCTCTGCAAAGGGGTATGAGATAGAAAATGGGCATGAGTTCATCGTATTGCAGGGAACGTGTGCCTGTCCTACTCGGGCTCCGACAACTGCCCAAAAGCTGTCACCTTCCAGAACAGGGAGCAAAGCAAGCAGGAGACTCCCAGCCCTGCCCTGCCCTGCCCTGCCCTGCTCTGCTGTGACAACGCAGCACCTCCAGCACAGAGCCCACAACACTTGCATGATCAATGCTTTATTTTCTCTAGCTCCAGTGTTACAGCTGCAGCAGCATATCAAATACACCCCCCCACAGACACATCAACACACATTTCCCTTCTGCAAGGAGCTGGCAGCAATCTCAAGACAGAAACAATCTTCACTACAGGCATTTATGACATTGAAGAAATAACGCTTGTCCACCCTTATCACATACATGGTGTGTCTCACAGGTAGGAAACAGCAGTACATTCGTAGTTCAGACACAATCGTCCTTAAATAAATACAACCTTATTGGCATAACAAGGTGATGGAGATGCAGCCTTCAGGGCCACTGGAAGATGGTGCTTGGAATGACATCAGCATTTTTATAAAAAAAATAAAACCACACAAGAAGTAAGCCAGTAAATACGTACATTCAATCCAAAGTTAAGAAAAAATAGTCATGGATAGAAAACATCTCATTCGAGAAAAAATGCTTTACTTGAAAACTCCAGTCTACAAGTGGGTGAACCTGAAGTCACAGTCTGAGGAGAAGCACTCACTCATGCAAACACACACACACTGTCAAAGTACGAGTACTGGACTCCCCTGGCACTGCCCAGCTGCGGATGTCACTTTAAAGATGTTAATGACCGAGTGTGTGCCACAATTATTTTAAGCCGGTCACTGGACAGGGCAGTATTTTCCCATTCAGCACTCTGCAATGTCAAAATCACAACCTGCAGGCTACAGTCTGTGTGGGGCAAATGATAGCAAATTTTAAGCTAAGAATGAGAGAGGTAAAATGAATTCCCACAAAATTAACAAACACTTATATATCTACTCGGTGCCTCACAACTGTCCAAAGCTTCTGTCAGATCACTCACTAAGCCTCACGAGGACCGGGCTGGGGCAGCAGGACAGGTGGGAACCCCTGATGACCCAGTCTTTGACATGGGGAAGAGAAAGCCAGGACCACATCCTCGGACTCTGAGCCCATGGCGCTCTGAATCCACGCCTGCCTCTCTGTTTTGCATTCCCTTAACCAAAGGGGCTTTTCCCAAGGTCAAGTTCCTGCTGTAAATATGGAGAGCAAAACCCTGTGGGAATACAGGAACATTTTATAGCAGGGCGGCAAATCAAGTGGACAAAAAGGGATAGGAGGAATAATTTTTTTAGGATTTAAGTTCTAGAACCTACAATTTGATTTTTCCCCTCCATCTGCAGAAGTTAGCACTACATAGGTAACTCTACCCTAAGACAGGGTCAGAGTGGATGTAAACATTTCCAGCAACAGCACAGTCACCAGCTTTCTGCTTGCTGCATCTGGTACCCATGGTTGAGAGCAGTGGGGGTCTACCCCAAAGTGGGACAGCTCAGCAGCCATCCTGCAGCCCAGCAGCAAGACCCTGCTCATGAACACACACCTGAGGTACCAAGGTGGCCTGCCCATCCTTGACCTGAAAAAGGAAGTCAACTGTTTTATCATACAAGTGCTTATAGCTACCAGGACGAAAGACCCATAACAGCATAGTCCCACGATGAGACTTTCTCCGTGCAATCTAAGTTCTTCCCAGGCAGTCAGGGACAGCCGCCACACTGGCCTCTGCGATAGTAGCAGGTCAAGACCAGTACTGCCCAAATGAAACGCATGTGCTTCCTGCCTGGTGGGGGCTCAAAACAGGAAACAGAGGCCGTCCGGTCTCCCCTCGGATACCGGTCTGGAAGCAGCAGGCTTGTGTTTTCTCTTAGCGACAATGTGACTCCGTCCCAGAAGACAAGGCAGTGAGGCCTAGAGTTCTCAGTGACACAGACAACACAAGGCTGAAGGAGCAGCCTTGGGCAATGAGGCCCCGGCTGGAGGGCCCAGACTTATCACCAGCCTATGAGAGGGGGCTCCGATGGGGATGAGCACTGGCACAGGACAAGGGCACAGCCAAATGCCAGAGGTGGGCTGGCTCCATCTTGCTAAATCCCTAGAAAGCACAGGGAAAGGCAGGACAGGAGGAGAGTTAAGGACACACAAAAGCCAAGTACCCTGAAGTGCCTGAGGGAAAAAAAGGCTGATCCATAAATAAGTCTTAGGATAAAGGTAGGATTTATCCCCACAACCTACTAAACAAGCGGCCAAATGCTGGCAGATTCAGGGCTTCTAAGTGTGACCAAGGGAGGTACAAATTCAGCTCACTCACAAGCAAGGGAATGGCCTCAGCAGGTGTAAGACGGGTCGCCCTCACTGTCCTGGGGCCACCAGCCTACAGCAGGAGCGATCCTACTCCCTGGACCATGTGTGTGTACGTAACACAGCAGGAAGAAATGCGCCAGGGCCTGACCTTCGGTCCTGGGATTTTTAGGACAAACAAGGGGATAAGGCACATGAAGGTGCGTGACTGACTGAATTAAAAATAGTGGCAAGTAGCATAATATTTTTTTTAACGTACCTTCTTTCCCCATTAAAAGAGAAATTCAAAATATACATTTAATGTTTATTATTTTACATTCAAGTGAAACTTCCATCTGGGGGGACCTACATGCAATTTTGGGCCACATTCAGCCATTTATTACTTTGGTGCCTTTTACCCTGATGGAAGAATTCAGCCATTTTGTTTTTTAAAAACAGCTCGATCAGCTCGTCTGTAATACTCTTTAGGGACACACACGACAATACACACAAATTCAAAAATTTCTACATAGAAAAATAAAGGATAAACATTATCCATCTATTTTAGACTGTATGTGTTCAGTCGCTGTATGGCCTCTTCCCTCCTGTGTGACGTAAGGATGGAGGGAGGAGTCTGCCACAGTGAAGCAGAAAAGCTGCATTCTCTGGGGGAGGAGAAGCAGCCAATTCTTGCTCTCCTTCCCGAGTCATTCCTGTCCACCGTCGCCTAGGATGTCCCTGTGGACAGGACAGCCTTCTGGTCACCGGCCATCCTGGCCTCCCCTCTCTCTTAAGGCATTAGGGAGCACACATCAAGGGCACCCTCAGGAAAAGGACCTTAGACTTCAGGCCAAGGGACCAGCAGGCTGGCAGGGGAAAGCTTTTGTGAACAAGATTCCAGAACCACTTCCCACAGCCCGTTCCTTTAGAACAGAGTTCGGTTCTCCAGCTGGTGCTTTGTGAGGACGTACTTGAAAAACTCATAGACGGACCAGGAGATGGCTGTGGAGGGCATCTGGTAAATGACGCGTGCCTGGATGCCTTTGAAGTAGCCTGCCAGGCCGTTGAGCTGGTACACTGTCCGGAAGGCATTGGCCATGCCTGACAGCCGGCCACTGATGTTGGCCAGGGACAGAGCCATGTTCTCCTGTGTGTTGAGTAGGGTCTTGCAGACGTCCAGGGGGGTGGTGGCAGCCGCAGCGAGGGCCCCGGCCAGGCCACCAGAGATGATGTGGGACTGTGGGTTGTAGTCCCGCCTTGGGTTCACCTGCTCCTGCAGGAACTCGTAGGTGATGAAGTGGATGGACTGGAAGGGAATGTTCATGGTGAGCTGCGTGGTGTAGCTCCGGTAGAAGGCCCCCAACCCCTCGGTCCTCCACACCGTGCTGATGCAGCTGAGGGCAGACCGGTGCTGCGAGTTGTACATCTGTAAGCGCTGCTTCACCACTGTGCCGGGCGCAGGGCAGGACAGGAAAGGCCAGGCCGGATGGGCAGCCAGCAGGCAGGTGGTTGGCTTGGCCCCACCCCAGGTCGGAGTGAAGTGGGAAGCCAAGCCGATAAAAAGAAACAAGCACATTAGAGACGCTGGTAACGTACAGAGCGAGCACACGCACAGCCCCAGCCTGGGAGGTCATGAGCTCCAGGCAATCCCAGTTCAGGGCTCCACTTCTAATGCCCGGACCCAGAGCCAGGGAGCTGGCGACTTCCTCGTGTCTCCTGCCAGAATCTCCGGTAAGCAGGGCCCCAACCACCTCAGGTTGGATGAGCTGCTCTGACCTCCCAGATCCTGGCTGCCAGATCTCAACCCTGCTCCCACTGCCCTCCTCCATCCCGTCCCCAGCCCATCAATTAGATGTGTGGCCCTAGCTTAGCCTCCGGAGTCTGAATCTCTGATAGCGAATCTAGTTTCTGTGTCACAGTGCACTTGTAACAGTGGTAGAATTATGTCTGCCCACGTTCTGTAATGATCTCCAATGAAAACCTCGGCTTTGTTAACACAAAACTAACTTAACTGGTGTTCATGGGAAAATAGGTAATAAGGCTGTATCCCCGAGACTGAGTTTTAAAAGAGTCTACACATTGCCAGATGAACACACATGATGTGCTTCACTTCACTTTTAAAAGAATAAAGACCTTAAGTTGATCCTCACTTTTTATCTCCTTTTAAAAAATATAAACAAATTCCTTGCTTAGTTACAATAATGAACTGGTCATTGGCTAGGTCCCTACATTGCATGAATCATTAGAAGATGAAGATAAGACAAAGATGAAGAAGACGAAGAAGAGGAGGAGGAAGGGAAGGAAGAGGAGGGAGAGAAAGAGGAAGAGGAGGAAGAAGAAAAGGAAGGAAGAAAAAGGAAAGAGAAAGGAGGGAGGTGGGGAGAAGGGGAAAGGGAAGAAGGAGGAGAAGATGAAGAGAAAAAAAGAATAAGAAGAGGAGGTGAAGGGGAAGAAGCTGAAGAGAAAAAATAGGAAGAGGAAGAAGAGGAAATGGAAGAGGAAGAAAAGGAAGAAAAGGAGGAAAGTAGGCGAGAAGGAGGAAGAGAAAGAAGTGAAGAAGCAGCACCAGCTCAAGATATATACAGCTGGCCCTCTCTGCTCATGGATTCCGCATCTGTAGATTGAACCAATTACACCAAAAATATGCAGGAAAAATGTATCTGTACTAATATGTACATTTTTTTCTTATCATTATTCCCTAAGCAATACAGTATAGCAACCATTTACAGAGCATTTACATTGGGTTAGGTCTTACAAGTAATCCAGAGATGCTTTGCAGTATAAGGGAGGACGTGCATAGGCTAGATTTGACCATTTTACATAAGGGATTTCAGTGCCCATGGATTTTGATATCTGCAGGAATTCCCCCAGGAATTCCACAAGATGACTGTCGTATGTGTGTATCTATTTGGGGATTTTAAGTTTCCCACAAACTGCTTCCCGCCTATGTAAGAGCATCTCTTTCCGGGCCTCAGACACACTGCCTCGAACACCCTCATTACAGAGCAAGCCCAGGGACAAGTAAGTTTACTTAAGGACATTTCATCCCTTGAGAATGACAGTGTGTGTGCTCGAAAACAGAACACAGGCATCTCTGAGCGCTCTGCTTTCCAAATCAAAGTGAGAAAGGTGTATGTTGCCCCCGTCACCTTGCGTACCATGCCATGAGGAAGCCAGCAGAAAAGGAGGTAAGCACCTTTCCCCACCTGTCCATCCGAGCACCCAAGAGGTAGAGTCCCCTCCCCACCTCTCAGTGTGACTCAGCATGGCTTTGAGGGCTAGGACAAGCCCCGGGTCTACTAGGACCCGGGAGACAGCCGAGAACAAACAAAAAATTTCAGCCTCAAAAGCAAAAAAAAAAGGCAAATTTATAACCTAAGACTTACACTGTTGGAGCTTTTTTCTCCAATTCTCCCTTCTGGCAAGGGACCATTCTGGGGTAGGGAAAAAGGTTGCGAGAGACTCGCACGTCACCTAAGGCCACCACCAAGCAGGAATGACCCAGATACAGGTGCAAGAGAACCAGGACCCACATCTCACTAGTCACATCTGAGCTGGCGGAAGATGGCGGGACAGAAACAAATCTAGCAGGACTCATGTCCGCCCAGACAAGACTGGCGCTATAATGCTTCAAAATTCAGAAGGGGAAGGAAAAAGTTAAAAAGAAAAAAGAAAGCAAAGCAAAATGGCCACATGTTAATTTTTGAAGTATAGTAACAGATACACAGGGGTTCCTAACACTGTTCTCTACATTCAAATGCCTATGTGTGAAATTTGCCATAATCATTTCAACTTTAAAAAAACAAAAAAACTTGATGTAGCCCTAAGGATTGGGTTCTGACAGGCTCCCCCCAGATTTGTCTAGGGTTGGTAAAGGTTAAAGGTTAACCAGGCTCAGGTATGTACGGTGTGAGTATACACATGTGCACACACAGGTTTCGGAGTAGTGAAAAACTTGCAAGAATGTCCCAGGGGAGCCAGCTCCAACACATCCCCAGGCTCTTCCCGAGGCACCCCACTTCAGCAGTAGTCCTAGGGGCAGGGTCGGAGAAGCAGCACTTCAAATGCCTCCCAGGAGCCTGCGGGTCCGAGGACCACACTTCCAGTAGTTCTGTTTAACTCTGACGGGGTCCAGGAGCCGTTTGCCCACCTGCTGCGCCCATCCCTGCCCCTCTGCATGTCCCCTACTGACCCTCCCTGGAGCCACAGGACATTACCTTCTGCCGGGTTCATTACTGCATCGTGGAGCAGGGTGGCCATACTCCCAGCTATCCCTGCAAAACAAACTCCAGAAAATTACCCTCTGCCACGGGGTGTCCTGAGGAAGCTCCCAGGAACCTAAGGTCAGACGAACTCTGGGCTGGGCTGCCTGAGGAGAATTAGGAGAAGTGCTCCACTCAGGCGGAGCCCCAATGCCTAAAACCCTAACCTGAGTGTGGAGGCACTGACTAGACACAGGGAAGGCTGACAGAGATATAGTTACCCGGGTTTGAACCTTACAGAAACCTTATGTTCTTTCTTGTCAGCACTAGGAAATGGCCGCTAATGTTCGATGGCACTCAGAAACCACACTTAGTGGCTTTTTCCACCATCTAGATTTTAATTCTTTCTTGTCCTTCACCTTTGTCTAGAGATCAGCATACTATGCCTTTAAGCTGAGCCAATCAAAAGGGGTGTTATGTGGGTGAGGGGGTGGAAGAGAAACCTTTAAGTAAATTTCTTATTAAAATCCAGGCATTTTTCAGAAAATGGGTAAGAGAAGAGTGAGGCAGGAAGCTGGGCATCTGGTAGATTTCCAGGGCATGTTTTTGAAGCTGGGATTGGTCTCATGGTCGGTGGCCCCTCTAAGGGTTTTCTCAGGCCTGGCTTCAAGAACCAGGCACACTGAAAGCCTGAATCAGGCCTGGAATCTTGCTTTCGGCTTTCCATTCCTCCCTTTGGGGTGACACTGCCTCTTGATTAAAATTAACGTGGGGAGGGGGGAGGAATGAGGGAGAACAGGTTAATCCTTCCAAAATGCACATGACAGCTCCTACTCCCTGCTCACACACTTGTAATTATTCCCAGGAAGGTCCGAAGTGCAGCCACAGCTGCAGGACAGCACTGGGCAGACCTTGACGCAAACAGGGTTTTGTCAAACCTACTGCAAGGAGCCACACCATTGTAAGGCAGCCTCCGCAAAAGGAAAGCCCCGATGTTACGGGCTCAGGGGAGCACCCGGGCATGGCTCTTGGTGACTGTCTGAATAAATGCAGCGGGTGGCCAGCTGTTGAAAAGCTCAAGCAGCCAGGCACACTTGGTGCTAAAGCTGCTGCTGATGAAGGGATCTTTTATGGTTCTATGAGTATAACAAAAAGGGGAGCAGGAGTTCCTGGCCACATCTAACGCTCCACTGTTGAAGAATGCATTGTGTTGCTATCCACATTCCCATTCCACACTCACACAAAACAAAATGAAAGCCAATCCCACGCGACAGGAGCAGAAGCCGCCTGGCCCGGCCTGGCCCAGGGCCGTGAGCCTTATGTAAGAGCGGGCCCCAACACGCAGCCCCCCACCCGCCTCTCTCCCTGACATCCACCACACAAAGCTACTGCAGCCCTCGGTGCAGAGAAGTACGGCTCAGACACACAGAAGAGGATGGGGGGCAAAACCCCCAAATCTCCTGAAGCTGAAAGTGGAAAAGGCCTTCCGCAGTGGCGCAAGTCCTTTGTCAGCCATAAAACTTCTTGACCTTTTAGAGCTTAGTTAGATCTTGGCGTTGCAGAGACCTGTTGTACCAGTTTTTAAATAGTCTCAAAGAAGCTGTCCAGATAACTTTTTTTTTTTTTGAATCCAGCATTCAAAAGTTTTGTTTCTATTCAGGGTGTTTCCTAGAACTGATCATTAATGGTTTTTGAATGTTTAAAAAAAAACAACAACCAAAAAAGCCTCCCCAACAGGGAGAACTGAAACACCTCTGCCACCGAAGTGCCCCGGGCTCAGAGAGCGCAGGCAGGGGACGGGGAAGCATGTGCGTGTGTGCACGAGTGCGTGTGCCTGGGTGCGCGTGAGCACACGACCCCAGAGTTCCTTTTTCATGAGCAAGCTGCTGAAGACGAAGGCTGCTGGGTCATGGGGAGGAAGGCCCCGGGGAAGGATGTGTCGAAGAAGAGAACTTTCTAACTCCAGACAAATGCTTTCAAAATACCATTGGCTAGGTGGCTGTTTCCTTGGTGGTGGAAAACATCACTTAAAGTCTTTTTCATGTTTTCATAGCAGGCAAAATACATGGCGTGGGCCGGGCCTGCCCCCATGATCATCACGTTGAGACCCCGCAGGGGCCTCCAGAAGCCTTCCGTCCGCATGATTTTCTTGAGGGCTCCATAGATGCTTGTGTACCGGGCTTTGGGATCTGGAGTCAAACTCTGCATTCGTGTCTGCGGGAGAGTAAAAAGAGAAAATGAGAAGCGAGAGCCAATGAGGATGGAAAGACAGGCTCCCCTGGCCAAGAAAATCCAGTTATCCTCTCCCTCCTAGCACGCTCCCTCCTCACATGCACACAGTAACAGGGGAAGAACAAGGATCCAGAGGGTGGAATCGGGGTAGAAGATCCTGCCATACCCTGCTACCGTCAAGCTGTGTCTTGGTGAATCCCTCAGTCTTACTGGATCTGGGGACCTTCAATTACAAAACATGCTTGTTGCAAGCAGCAATGAAATCATGCATATGAATACAGCAAATGTGGGGTCTGGGTAAAGAGGTGCAGTTGTCCCTCAGTACCCACAAGGGATTGGTTTGAGGCCCACTGGCATATCAAAAAGCCTTCATGTAAAACAGCATAGTATTTGCATTTAACCTATGTACAACCTCCTATGTTCTTTAAAACAGGGGTCCCAACACCCCCCATCTCTGCTCTGGGCCACACAGCAGGAGGTGTGTGGCTGAGCATGCAAGAGAGCAAAAGAAGCTGTATCTGTATTTACAGCCAACTGTCTATGGCCAAACCACCCCGAAGCCACCCGGTCTCATCTGTATTTACAGCCAATTCCCACAGCTCACCTTGCTGCCTGAACTGTGTGCTGGCAGATCAGCGGCCACATTAGATCCTCATACATGAACCACACATGTGCAGGTTCTAGGTTGCTCCTTATGAGACCCTAATGAGGCGGAGCTGAGGCAGTGATGCTAGCACTAGGGAATGTAATTATCATGTATCACAGAACATATACTAATAAAAAAAAAGAAAAAACCCTCCCCCCTCCCGATCCATGGGAAAATGGATGTCTTTTTTCCACGAAACTCGCTCCTGGTGCCAAAAAGTTTGGAGACTATTACTTTAAATCATTTCTAGATTACTTATAATACCTAAAATAATGAAAACACTGTGTAAGCAGATGTTATACTGCATTATTTAGGGGATAATGACAAGAAATAAAAGTCTGTATATCCTCGGTACAGATGCCAATTATTTTTCCAAATATGTTCAATGCACGGCTGGTTGCACTTGCTGGTGTGGACACCAGCTATGTTATGAGATCTAGCAGTTTACACTCAGGTCCTGAAGTCTTTTGTAGCCTCAGCAATCTGAGCCCTCCATATGCTGAAAGCTCCTGTTCAGGCCCTACTAGGAAACTTCTCAAATCCTTTGGGCCTTACCCATGCATCACCTCTAAAGACTTTTCACATTTCATTTTTACAACACCTAAAACTTTGTTTTGTTCTTGTTGCGGTTTGAGACAGCATCTCTCCATGTAGTTCAGGCTGGCCTGGAATTTGCAGTGATCCTCTTGCCTTAGCCACCCAAGTGCTGGGATTACAGGAGTGTGCCACCACGCCAGCTTTCAAAGGTCTTGTTCCTAATATCTTCCTGTACATAGCCTTGCTACTTGAGGCAGGGACCTAGTTTAAGATCTCTGATCCCTCTTGTAGCACTCAGGTGTGAAAGGCACTTGAGCAACTACGAAGGTCACTTCATGTTTCAACCTGGCTAGACCAGGGCACCCGGACACTTGATCAGACATCTATCCAGAGGAGTCTGTAAGGAATTTTTTAGATGAAATTCACATTTAAATCAGTTCGCTTTGAGTAAAACCAATTACATCCCATAATGTGGGTGAAACTGATCTAATCAGTCAAAGGCCTTAAGACAAAAATCTCGAGGTATCCCAAGGAAGAGACTCCACTGCCAGGCTGCCCTGACCCGAGTTTGCAACATCAGCTCTTTCCTGCATACCCAGCCCTCTGGCCACCCTGCAGATTCTGGCCTTGCCAGCTCTTACGGTGATGTGTGCCAATTCCTTAAAATAAATCTCCACATACAGGAAGAAAAAGAGATTTCCAAGTAGATCTGTTTCCCAGGAAAACCCTGACTGACAAGTAGGTAAGAGGAACACCCAGGCTGCCTCAGTCCCACCAAAGCAGCACCCTCCCTTCCACCCGCCCCTCCAGCCCAGCAGAGGGGCTCTCCAACTGTTGATGGGAGCAGCCTTTTATCTCCAAACAAAACCACACAGAAAAGCTAACACATGTAAAAAGGAAGAAAGGTTTCTCTGGTTGAAAACGGGACAAAGGTCCCTAGGCCAACTCCTCAAGACCGACACTCTCTTCCCCAGGAAGCCCCGGGGCTTCAAATTAAACCTAGGCTTATTAGGAACTCGCTATTTTCCTCTTCCTCTCTCTGCAGCCTGGTGAGAACATCTTCAGCCCAGCCAGAGGCAGCCGCTGGACACCTGGGGGCGCCCCTTGGAGGTGGACAGATCAGTTTCCCCACAACTGCAGATTGTTTGAAATGACTTCTATTCTCATCCTTCCAGAAAGGGTTTGAGGTGGCTGACCTAGCAAACGCATGACAAGCAAACAAGACCAAGAGAAAGACATCAGTGTGCTGACCACGGGCAGCTGAGTTGTGGCCACAACCCCTCCACTTACCTGCTGGGAAGTGGGAATGCAAGCCGTTCCCAGTAGGCACCAGGAGGCCACTGCCCCTGGGAAGAAGGTAGCGGCCCTCTAGCACTAACTCCTAAAAGATATCTGAAATAGTAAGTTAGGCATCTCATCTTTGATCTGGCTTCATCTTTGATCAAAAGTAAGGCTCAGGCAGCAGGCAGTACAACTCCACACGTGGTCAAGAACCCAGGCTGTGGCATCAGGGAGAACTGGGGTGATTTCAGATCCCATTGTTCATGGTGTGACCCTGGGCACATTAATCTCTCTAAGCTTGGGAGAATGGCTGAGCACATTAGATGAGATAATACGCGCCTATTTCCATCACATTGTTGGTAATAATAAAGGAGCATCCAGGGGGGTACACAAAGGTGATTCATGGAGGCCGACATGGCTCTAGTGTATGACTTTCTAGAGGAATGAGCCCCACAGAAGTGGGGGTTGTTTCCGGTCCATTCACTGCAGGTCCCCAATGCCGGGTAAGATGTACTTATTCTGAACCCCCTAAATATGTGCTGAATGGATGAACGGCCATGTTTAATGGACTCGCTGGGACGGAAGCACACGGGCTGTGTCAGAAGCACATGGCCCCCAGTGCTGGGCGGCCCACCGCAGCCCGCTCATCTCTAAGCACTCTCTCTCCTCCTACCCACAGGGAGCACCTAGTTGGCATCAGGCACAGGCATGCAGAGAATAAAAGAATGAGAAAAACGGGGGTGGGGAGGGTAAGGAAAATGGGGGAAAACAAATGAAACATGTGAAAGAGAAGAAAACAGACCACTCAAGGTGCCAAAAAAGCAGCACAGAAAAGGGTCCAGGAGTGAGCAAGCCCGCATTAGCCCCAGAGAAGAGGTCAGAGGCAGGCAGAGAAGAAATAAGACAGTGCTGGAGAGAAGACAATGCGTTTATCTCTCTTTAAAGTGTATGGCCCTGCCTATAAAATGTAAAAAAAGAGGGTTGACCTACCTTGTGGGACTGGAGAAAGAGAAGAAGTTAGGGAGTAAGTAAAAGCAAGCCAAGTGTGCACCGGGGGCTGAAGGGTAAAACAAACTCCATGGAATACTATTTGGCCTTAAAAAGGAAGGAAATCCTGACCCGTGCGTGCTACAACACAAATGAACTTTGAAGACACTGTGCTGAATAAATAAGCCTGTTACAAAAAGACAAACATTGCCTAATTCCACCAACCTAGAATAGTCGGACACAGGAGCGTGGGGGTGGCCAGGGGTTGGGGCGGAGGTACTGCAGTGAGTGTCTCATGGGCACAAGATCTTGGTTTTGCAAGAGAAAGAGTTCTGTGGGTGAACCCTGGTGACGGCTGCACAACACTATGAATGTACTTAATGGTGCTGAGCTGTTAACCCTAAAAACAGTTAGCAAAGCACATTTTGTTATGTGTATTTTGCCGCTTTTTAAAAAATAAAAAAGGGAGTGAAAAGAGAGGAGAAAAAAGGAAATGAATGATTGAGGATGCAGAGAGGAGACAGAGATTAAAAGCAACGACAGAAGAAGTGATCCTGCTGTCCCCTCCCAGAAAGTAGCATAGGGCCAGGTACAACACACGGCCCCCACTCCACGCCGGGATCCACACCCGGGGACCAGCCTCGCTCCTCCCCTGCCACCCTCCCCATGATGCCCAGGAACACAGAGCTCCAAGAAGGGCCCTGGGGCTTCTGAGGCTCCCCAGAGCAAAGCCTTCCATCTGCAGAGAGGTCAGACGGGAAGAAAGGTCAGGCCCTGTGACTGGGGCTCAGCATGGGCTGGGGAGGTGGGACGCTCGCATACTGGAGGCCTTCAGATGGCTCTTGTCCATCCCGTCTCTGGCTGCATCCGCACAAGGACACTTGTTTTACACGGCAGGTTTTCCCTACTTGAGGCAGGAAAACACTCAGTCCGGAGGGGCCGAGGTGCCCATCCACGCCCACACGGATCCTCAGCTGCGTGGGGCTTAGGCTGAGGGCCCTGACCCAGGACGGCCCTGCTCCCCAGCGCTGGGCAGCTCTCTGCCCTTTGACCTCTGACCCGCTGCCTGCCCAGGTTGGTCTGGGAGCAGCACCTGGTCTCAGGACTTTGTCCACACTCGCTCGCCTCTTGTTCAAATTCACATGGCTTTGAGAGACGAAGGTATTCAGAGTGGGGTGTGTTTCTTCAGCACAGTCGTGAGTTACCAGGTATCTACTTTATTATAGTTTGAGATGTGCATCACACATATTCTTCTAGTGCACAATATATT